CATGAAACTCTGTCTCAAAAAAATGTAAATGAATATAAATTAAATTTTAAAATAAAACTAAAAAAGTGAAATTACCTATTGTGAACATGTTTTGCATGCCAGAGTTCTATTAGGCAGTTTAGATCTAGCCCTATAGATGAGTAAACTATATTAAAAGAAGTTTACATAGCTTATAGGTTTCCATGAAATAAGACATTTAAGAGTATGAACATTGGAATTAAGGAAAACTCGGTTCAGAACACTGGCTGTGGTACTCATTATCTATCTGTGATGCTGTGGTACTCACTATCTATTTGTGATGCTGAGTATGTTTCATAACCTCTCTCACATTTGGTTGTGATTTTTTTCACTAAAAAAGTAACTTTAAAGTAAATTTATTAATGCCTGCTATATGTTGCTATAGTGGGAACTTAATATACAATAATGCTTGTTGATCTGACAAATGCATTTTAATAGTATGAGTAATTTATAATGTTGACAAGGCTTCCAAAGGATTGTCTGAATACAGAATCTTTGTCTTCCACATGCTATAGACCATCAGCAGCATCTTGGAACACACTGATGATATCTCTTTGGTCTAAATCATCAGCTAAAGATAGACACAGGCTACAGCTCTCAGTATTACTGTGAAACAAAGCACATTGTCTAAACAGGAAAGGTCATAAGAGAAAGAATAAAGTTGTCTATGACTTGAAGAAAGTGAGTCTGACAGGTCTGAATGTGATGGCACACTGAAGAGAGGTTTGAAAGAGGCAGAAATGATGGATACGTGTAATCTCACCACTCAGGACGCCAAGGCAACGGGATTGTGATTACAGGCCAGCTTGGGCTATATAGTAAACGCTTGTCTTAATGAAAGTAAAAAAATGACACAGAATAATTTCTGGAAAAAGTGGTGTACTGCTCTCTGATATGAGCATGCAGAATTTTTAATATAACAAAAAGAATGTGATAAAATATAACCTCAAGTACCAACTGACATCTCAGACATTTGAGAACTAGAATAAACAGTAAGATGGATAGATAGATAGATAGATAGATAGATAGATAGATAGATAGATAGATAGATAGATA